ACAAAGAAAAAGAAAGAAAAGAAAAAGAAAAATAATCCAAGATAAAAGGGAGAGGGGGAAAAAAAGAATGTGAATGTGAATTTAAGGTAAGAATTGATGAACAAAGAATAGCAATATACAAATAATTATTGAAGCCAGGTGCCAGGTATAATGAAGCTTCATTATATTATTCTTTCTATTTTTACAGGATAAAAGGTTAAAAATTTAATTAAAATTGAATGAGCTGTTCAAATACTAGATCTCTTATTTTTTAAGATTTGAGTGTGATGTAGTGCGATGAAATTAACCTTGGTTAGAATGCTGGCTATAGCTTTTACTCTCTGTGTGACCTTAGGCAAATCAGTCAATTCTTACAAACTCCATTTTCTCTATCTGATAAATGATGATGATGATGATGATGATAATAATAATAATAATAATAATAATACTTTCTATTGCTATAATAAGGATTTAATGAGATAATGGGTATAAAATATTTGGCAAAGCACTTGGCTTGCATTAGTGAAAATATTAGCCTTAGCAGATTTAATTTCATTTCTTGCTATGTTTCCATTTAAGTGATTATCTTTAGTGTAATGGTTTGCCTTGTTGTGTTAAGTCTGAAATCTATAATGCAACTATAATCTATAATGTAAGTGTATTCTATTAGGAATATTAACTTTTTCCTAGCACTTATTTTGGACCTATTTCTCTTACATTTCTGTTTATCTTTTTAGCTTTTTATAGTTATTTTAAGTTTACCGAAGTTTTCTTTTTTTCTAGAAAGTCAAATATGTCAATTTTTCTCATTAAAATATTGCAGGAATATATAATCGAGAAAGCAAAAGTTCCTTATGTTTTCACACTCTGCCTAACCTGCAAAAATCATTAACAATATCTTTACAACAAATATAATGATATTCAACCTACCTTCAATTGCCTGCTCTTCACCATTCTTAAATCTCTGTTCTGGATCCAGGACTTCATTATGTCTTTTCTAGATAGGTATAGTAACTTCCTCTTCTTTCTGCCTAAATCATTATTCATATCACCACCAGATAGTCATATTTTAAAATAAACTAGATTTTTAAAACATTAATGAGCATATGACTTATTAACCAATGTATGTATATTATTGCTCTATTGTTACTTACATTGGACCTATGTTATCTTAAATGGGACTTGCTCAGTTTTTTTTTCTTTTCAAGTATTCCTTGCTTATCTGAAATTCAAATTTAACTGGGTTTTCTACATTTTTATTTGCTAAATCTAATAGCCTTACTTCCACCATTGGCCCTGTTAGATAGGTAGTGGTGACTTAGACTTAGAACAAAGCAGCCCACCCTGCGCTGGAAAAGAACATCAATCAGATGCCTGCAGAAATGCCTGTCAATCAGCCAGATCTCCTAACGCCTGTCAATCAGCAGGACCCCCTGGCCAATCCTGGAGTTCAGCCAACTCCCCTGACCAACTCCAAGGGGGCAAGGGTCCCTAGAAACACCTTTTCCTGTCTTGAGCCCTTCCCTTCCTGCTGTAAGCCCCATAAAAGTCCAGTTCGGGTCGAGCTTCCATGCAGTTTCTCCTCAGACCCTTCCCCTGTCCCCTCTGTGGGTCTTAATCAAGTTCCGCCCCGGAGTGATTTCTCAATAAAGCCTGTTCAGTGGCCCTTTAAAATCTGCTTTCTTTGGTCGCTGCCTGCCTTGCCTGATCTGACAGGCCCAACACAAGGTCACTACACAAATTCTAGCTTTCTCTGCTCTAAGGGAAAGGTTTAAGGAGGCCCAAGGAACTTTGACTCTGTTTTGGTTGGGGATGTGGGGTGTGCCTGTGATTGAATTCAAAGTCATACATATGCTAAACATGTGCTCTGCTACTGAGCTACACCCTCAGCTTTGTTCCATTCTTAAGGGCAAAAACCTAGACACCTCACATATTATTTCTGTTTGTATCCCTTCGGGCAAATAACTCAGTTACATGGCCCCACACAGCTTCTAGAGAGGCTGAAAAATAGAATTCTTAACTGGAAAGACTATATGGCACAATAAAACCCCATTATCATGGAAGGAGGGAAGGTACACCACTGTGGAACAGTTTTGATACTGCCAGTTACTAGTGACAGGAGTTTCCTTTCCCAGATGTGAAGATTAAACATTGGAGAAATGCTGAGGCAAGCGTAAAGTGCAAGTTTTATTTAAATAATGGTAACCCAGACTTCTCTGGGAGGAAGAAGTGGGCCATAACTCCTACTCAGGTATCCCAAGAATTGGGAGTGTCCTGCCCCTTTTATACATTTTAGAATTTCTTTGTTCTCATGGCTTCTCCCCCATCCTGCCTACTGGACCCGTGATCAAAGTGATTCCTGACTTGGAATGAAGCGGCCCAGGGGTCCATACAGAAAGGGAGCAGCCCTGGAGGCATGCGTTAACAGCCCTTTATTGGAGGAACGATTCCCTGGAAGCAGATCTCCTGGACTACAAGTTGTGGCAGGGTTAAGGGACCTGGAGGTATTAGATTTCAATACCCCAGAGGCAAGCGACTTTGGCCAGGAGTGAGGGAGATGAGTCCTGAAGATACTAACATTCCATTCCCTTTGAATCAGCTTCCATCTTCTGAACCCAACTCAGCTGCTGTTACGCTTGAATTCCAAAAGACCACCAGAGACCCAAGATCGATGTAAGCAGCAAAGAGGTGTTTATTTCGAGCTAGCTCGGTCCTCCGCACGCACACACAGCAACTGGTGACGCTGAGAGGCCCTGAGCCCAGGATTTGCAGCAGTTTTATACATTCTTTGGAGAAGGCAGGGGCCCCCACATACATCATAGCATCTCTTAGCAAATCATCACACACCGCGGGAAAATCAAATAACAACTCTAAAACATGATTAGCACATTCACTGGTGGGAACAAGTCGGGTAGGGGTGATTGGTTACTACAAGAGGGGGATTTGTTTGAACTGATTGGTTTAAGCCAAAAGGGATGTTCGTGCAGAACTACATGGTTTCCCAATATGTTATCAACCACCCTAAACTACTGGGAGGGTCACCTGGCATCTCAGGTATTTCCCTGTCTCATGCTGATTGGTAGCTGCTAGGGGGTTGCTATGGATCCCCACCTAGCCTGACTGAGTCAGGGACACCTGGCGCAGCAGATCTCTCCTGTTATTTGTAGATAAACAACTTAGCAGGGTGGGAATGTGCCTAGGAGTGCTCAGTGGGTCTTTCCAAGGACAAAGGTGATGTCCCTTCCTTGGACAGGCTTTGCTCTGAGGTAGAGGCTGGTTTTTCATCAGCTTTTTCTTTCACTGTTTTGGGCAAGTTAACCCTTCAAGTACAACATCTGAGAAGGGAAGAGCTTCTTCTCCCCATTTTTCCCTCCCCCTACTAGCTGTTTCCATGGGGCCTAATTGGTATCTTCTCTTATCTTAGGAATGTAGACATCTCTGTGAAGCCCCAGCTCAAGGCCAGAGGCCTTGTCTGCACATTTCTACAAACTACTATATTGGATATGTTTGTGAAAAACTTGTAAGGGGGTGTCCAGCACCTATAGTGCTGGTATCTTCCCGGCCAGTAGCCAAGTAAAACAGGGCAATACGAAAATAGGAAGTTTATCCACATTGAACTCTTTTGCAAAGACTTTTTTCCTGACAGTCCTAAAATCAGCCATGGTAAAGATTTCTGGAGAAGCCCAGTTAAGACTTTTCTGTGGAGAAAGGTGGTGCCACTTCATTACACGTTGTAAAAACAGAAGTTTACTATTGTAAATTGTAAACATTTTAAACCCATTGTAAATTGAAAACATTTTAAATTGAAAATGCATTTAAGCCATGCATGATGGCATACACCTATAATCCCAGTGACTTGGGAGGTTGAGGCAAGAGGGTTGCAAGTTTGAGGTAGATTTAGAATCTTAGAGAAACCTTCAGCAACTTGGCAAGACCTTTTCTCAAAATAGAAAAATAAATGGGGCTGGAGATATAGCTTACTTGGTAGAGTGCTTGCCTTGCATGCACAAGGCCCTGGGTTCAAACCCCAGCACCACACACATACACACTCACAAAAGAAAAACAGAAAAAAGATAGAAAAATAGAAAGGGCTGAGGATGCAGCTCAGTGGTATGGTGCATTTAATATGCCTAATCTACCAAACTTCACAGTTTAGCAACACAGTCCACTATAGAGTATTTATTGGTTGTTTTTCCTTGTGATCATGTTGCTTATTACTGCCCTTTTGAGGTATAAATCATTCCCCCTCCTCTTTCCTGCTGTCCACAAACTTTTGTACCAGGAAAGAGCTAAAAAACTTATCATTAGAGATGAGATGGCATCAAGAAAGAGCACACAAACAAACTTTGCTAATAAACCTATCTACTGAGAGAGGTTTCCATATATTTGCCTTCCCACATTTTCCTGCTCCAAGTTCTTTCCCTTTTTGTCTTGTGACTTCTCACCAAAATCATTGTTCTTTGACTGGAGTATATTTTCTGTGGTACAGCACTTGCCTAGCATGTGTGAGGCCCTGGGATCCAACCCTAGCACTGGAAAAATATATGCATATATGCACATACATATATACACACATATGTGTATAGCTATTTTTTTTGTGTATACATATGCAAATTTCACATGTATATGCAAACTGTTATAAATGTATATATAAAATATATAGTTTTGTGTATATATATACACATATATATATACATTTTGTATATATATATATACATTTTGCATATATATATATATATATACATTTTGCATATATAAAAATCATTTGTATGTATATGACACATATTTGCAGAGATGTCATATAGGCCCATATGCAAACCACCACTTGGAGGGACTCTTCACTGAGCTCTTCCATGTGTATGTGTGATAATGTGCATGATCATAAGCTTTTGTTTTTCCTTTCTTAATCCATTTTTCTTGTCAGTCTAATTTGCAAAGATCAAGGAATCTATGATGGTTAGTGAAAAGAGGTGCCCCCCTTCTTCTATACTTTAAAACGAAAGCTAATATCACAACAAAGATAAAGACATTGATAGAAGATTTATTTCATCTAGATTTGGGGGCTAGGGATATAGCACAGTTGGTAGAGTGCTTGCCTTGTATGCACAAGGCCATGGGTTCAATCCCCAGCAACACACACACACACACACACACACACACACAAAGATTTGGTCATTCTTTGGATGGAGGGGTACACTCCTATAATCCCAGTGATTTGGGAGCCTGAGGCAGGAGGATCTGAAGGAGGATCTGAAGTATGAAGGTATCCTGGGCAATTTAGTGAGACCACATCTTCATCTTACAGAACAAAAAGGGCTGGGGATGTAGCTCAGTCGTAGAGTGCCCCTAGGTTCAATCCCATGTACTGTCAAAAGGAAAAGAGAAAAAGAGATTTAGTCATTCTAAAGTTGTTTAGGCTTCACAGCACATCTGTAAAATACATAAAGTAGAAGGAGCCAAAACTACAAGGAAAACTTACAAATCTGCCATCAGAATGGGAGATTTTAAGATATCTTTATCAGCTGGGTGTGTGGTGATATAGGCCTGGAATGGGAGGCTGACTAGAGGATTCCAAGTTCAAAGCCAGTCTAAGCAAAAGTGAGGTGCTAAGCAACTTAGTGAGACCTTGTCTGTAAATAAAATACAAAATAGGGCTGGGGATGTGGCTCCATAGTTGAGTGCCCCTGAATTCAATTCTTGGTACCCCACTAACTGCAAAAAAAAATATCTTTATCAAACCAGGTGTGGTGGTGCATGCCTATAATCTCAGGGACCCAGGATACTGAGGCAGGAGTTTTGCAAGTTCGAAGCCAGCCTCAGCAATTTAGTGAGATTCTCACTTTTAATTTTTATTAAAAAAATAAACCAGGCACTGTGGCACACGCCTGTAATCCCAGAGGTTAGTGAGGCTAAGGTTGGCTAAAAGCCAACCTTAGCAAAAGCCAGGTGCTAAGCAACTTTTAATGCAACCCTGTCTAAAAGTGCTAAGCAACTTTTAATGCAACAAAATACAAAATAGGGCTGGGGATGTGATTCAGTGTTTGAGTGCCCCCTAGTTTAATCTCTGGAAACATGCCACCCCCCCAAAAAAATAAATAAAATAAAACCAAAAAGGCTCATCTGCTCAGGAGGCTGAGATAGGAATATGTAAGGATGGTCTTAGGCCTGAGCCTAGGCAACCCCATTTTAAAACTCCAGTTTGAAACCTGCAGGCTCACCAGGTACCCTGATGCCTAGGAGCTCTCCAGTATGGCCCTGAGGCACAAACAAGTTACTTCTCCCCACCATGACAAACTCAGAATGAAGTCTCTGGCATGTTGTCTTTGCTCTGATAAAGGGGAAAGGCAAGAAAATCAGGGCAGAGACCACCAGACCAGATGATTTAACCCCGGGTAAATGAAATCACTAAGAGACCCAGTGGCAGGTAACAGGAATTGAAAGGGTAGTCAAAGTCCCAAAATTTAGTATAAATGAAGGAGCAAATGAACAGACATTCAGCCAGAGAGCCTGATGAGGACCAGGACTGACATCCAACTCTTCTCATTCGTCTGATCCCCTATGTTATTCTCACTGCTCTCAAAATCTACTGCAGCCTCTTGACTCCGGTGAGAAAAGGACTTCTTCCTATGACCACCTCCTCAACTAGCCATTAGCTCCACCCCAAGAGAAGCCTGCTTTGATTCCTGATCTGATCACGAAGGTCTGAGTGAGTGTGCATCTGCTGGACTTAAAGCATAAGGGCTTGAGACTTTTGATCTGACACTTGAACTTAGCATGCAGAGGGAATGTCTTTCATGAGCCTGTCATGATCAAGTGTGTTTGCTGTGCTTAGAATTAATGTAGAATTGTTTGCTGTGAATTGATTGTCTATTGCAGTGCCTAGGCAACCCCATTTTAAAACTCCAGTTTGAAACCTGCAGGTTCACCAGGTACCTTCATCCTAAATGAAGCCTATAAGCATTAAGGATTGTCATTTTCTTTATTAAGAACCTATAGAGTAGGGCTGGGGATGTGGCTCAAGTGGTAGCGTGCTCGCCTGGCATGCGTGCGTCCCAGGTTTGATCCTCAGCACCACATGCAAACAAAGATGCTGTGTCTGCCGATAAAACTAAAAAATAAATATTAAATTAAAAGAAAGAACCTATAGAGTAAAATTGTATTGAGTGATTTGAGTAAATAAAGCATTGACAAAGGCAGAAGTGCGTGGACATTCTTTATTTCTACCCCTGGACTTCATAAGTTGTACCTTTTGCCATTGTGACAGAAGATCAAGGGTCAAAGCCAGCCTCAGCCTCAGCAATTTAGTGAGACCCTGTCTCTAAATAAAAAACACAAAAAAGGGCTGGGGATGTGGCTGAGTGGTTAAGCACCCCTGGATTCATTCCCCAATACCAAAACAACAAAACAACAAGACATCTACATCAATAACTAATCACAAAAGATAACCAGGCAGGGTCCCATGAAGGATTCGAACAATACAATTAACAAGCATAATGTAATGGACACCTGTAGACAGTCACAGTGACAAATGGGTTGCACACATTCCTTTCAATTGCTCGTGAAATGTGTATTTGTAAATTGTCCAGGAAAACATACAAAAAAGAATTGTAAAGAACTACTATTTGAGGGATATGTTTTCTAGATACAATACAAATGAATTAGAAATGTGTTTTAAAAATATACGTTTGGAAATTTTAAGACATACTTAAAAAGTTTCCCTCTTTTGTTCACTGGATCTTTTCCACCTTTACCTCAGTTACTGTTCCCACTGAAAGGTGAGCAGATTTCCTTTGTTCAGACACCAACATTAGAGCTTGGGTCTGAAGGATATGGAAAATAGGTCCCAGGACATTTCCCCTATCTGCAGTTGTTTCCCCATCCTGCAAACTTTTGTCATTTAAAAGCTCAGGCATTAGATATAGGGAAGAAACAGGAAGGGACACAATAGGAATTCACACCTGATTGGCACCTGACCCACAACCCTAAAGGGTCAGTTGACCCAATGTAAGAAGCCCCAGGAAATTCCCTGTCCACACTCCTGACCCACTGGAATGGATCAGCTGTCCTCCAATACAATGAACCCCAGGGACTACCCTCCTGTCCCATCCTAAATGAAGCCTATAAAACACAGACCCTTGCTTTAGCCCATCTGCCATGTTCTGCCCTGAAAATGAACCACATCAGGTGTTTGGCCAATTGACTCTGCTGCTGAATAAAGATAAGCATGAGATTGAGGTCTTCCTAATACCACCGGTTACTGGTGACGAGTTCTGCTCCCCCACATGTTGAAGATTATAACATTAGAGAAGCATAGCGAGGCAAGCATATAAAACATGGTTTATTTATAAAGGGGTAAATAGACTTCTCCCTGGAGGGAGAAGGGGCCCTATCTGGTATCCTGGAATCCCAAGAAGCAAGAGTATTTTGCCTTTTTTATATGTCCTAGGCTTCCTTTGTTTTCCTGCTCTCTTCCTCTTATCTCTTTGGGATGGCAGATGGGAAGGTGAGAATCAGATAGGCTACAGGGGCCAAGCAGGAAGGGGGCATAATTAACTCCGTGTCTGAACAATCCCTGGGACAGGTTACCTTAGCAACAGGTTGGAGCAGGAGCAGGTTATATTGATTAGGGTGGAGGACAGAATCTGAAGGCATTGGAATTTCAATCTTTCTCCAACTTCCCAGACTCAAATTGGCCTCTTTGATCTAATGTGACTCAGTTTACCTATCTATATACTGCCTGTCTACTTTTGGCTTCATTTCCATCTCCTGTCTCCATCATTTGTGTTTACAGGGTCCTCCAAGGATCTACTTTTTAATCTATTTGAAACTATTTGTGTTAGTTCACTTTACATTTTGCTCATTTTTTTTTCTTTTTGGTACTGGGGATTAACCCAAGGGGCACTTTATCACTGAGCCATACTCTCAGTCCTTTTTATTTTTTATTTTGAGACAGGGTCTTTCTAAGTTGCTGAGGCTGGTCTTGAATTTGTGATCCTCCTGCCTCAGCCTCACCTGGCTCCATTTTTTTCCTTTTAAAATAGCTTGGCTCTTCCATTTATGTATGATGTGTCAAAATGCATTCTACTGTCATAATAACTAATTAGAACAAAAAAAGGGGGGGCTGGGGAAGCTTGGTTCTTGCAGTCAAAGTGAACTACGACCCATTTACTCATTTCACCCATATTTTTGAGTACTTACAATATACCAGTTTTCTAGGCATTGAATATACTTCAGTGTACAAAAGATAGGAAATACTCTGTCTTTTAGGGGAAGCAGATAGTAAACAACATCAATATGTAAAATATGCAATATGATAGACAGTAATGATTAGCAAAGATAGAAGGGTAGAAGTAGATAATGTTATGACCAATTCTTTTGTAATAGCACTGCAAATAACCTTTGTCCTAAAGAGGCACAGATTATCTGTGTTACAACCCAACAGTTTGTTTTATTGCCAGATAGGGCATTACCAGGTTTGTGTGTGTGTGTATGTGTGTATGTGTGTGTGTGTGTGTGTGTGTGTGTGTGTGTGTGTGTAATTTAATAATCACATTTTAACATTTTTTAGTGACCATAAATACATTTGTTTGTATTATGAAACTACCTTTGTTCTTCTAGCTCTCCTATTCATAAGCTCTTTGACTACATATGTACTATTAGAACGATGATTTTTAGGTTTTAAAAAATTATATATTGTATACAGTTTATGTACTTTATTATATATCTTTTTTTTGGAACCAGGGATTCCAAAAAAAGTTCATCAGGGGCACTCAAACACTGAGGCACATCCCCAGACCTATTTTGCATTTTATTTAGATACAGGGTCTCACTAATTTGCTTAGTGCCTCACCCTTGCTGAGGCTGACTTTGAACTCAGGATCCTCCTGCCTCAGCCTCCCAGAGTCACTAGGATTATATGCATTTGCCACTGTGTCTGGCTATTATATATCTTCAATGAACAAAAACATGAAAAATGACTATTTAAAAACAAAACTAAAAAAATCTTATGGATTGATTTTTTTTTAACATCCTAATGTTGATGGATTATTAGGCATTTAAAAATGGAAATTATGAAGACCACATAATTCGATGAGATGGAACATTATGAGACTGTTTTAAAAATATAAGATAAGTAAATGTAACACTTAGCTTTTCTAAATACTATTGCCTCTTTTCTAGTGTAACCAATACAATAGATATTCGAGTAAACATTTGAAAAGCTTAGTAGTATGGGCTCTGAAGTCAGGCTGCTTGGTTTCAAATCTCAGTTCAATCTTATTGATTTGGACAAGTTACTTAATTTCTCCAAATCTCACAGAATTGTTGTGAAGAACAAATTAAATAACTAAAGTAAGAAACTCAGAA